GGGGGGGCACTGGGCAGTGGAGAGAGGGGCTGTGGGGCCTGGGTGGGAAGGATGAAGTGGGAACTGGGGGGCTCTGGGAGACACTGGGGGGCAGTGGGCATTGGCAGTGGTTACTGGTCGGTGTGTGAGGGAGAGGGATTGGTGTGAACTGGGACAGTGGGCACTGGGGGTATCTTTGGGCACTGGGAGGGGAATGGGGAGGGTGGAGCAGTGGGAAGTGGAGGGCACTGGGAGGCACTGGGGGTTGGTAGGGAGGTCAGGGGCACTGGGGGACACAGGGGAGGTGCAGGCAGGGCCAGCCCCTGTCCCCTGTGCCACCCTGTGCTTTGGGGGTGCCCAGAGCCTCAGTATCCATCCTGGCTGTCCCGGTCCCTGCCACCCCAGGTGGGTGAGGCAGAGCCGGAGCTGGGCAGTGCCGACAGCTGGATCGGGGTGGTGCCTGTGGGCACTGAGGAGCCGCCTGAGGGCCCCCGCGGGGCCAAGGAGGAGTCCTTCACCACCGCCGTTGTCACCAAGGTGAAGTCCTGCCCATCTCTGTCCCCCCTGCCTGGCCCTGGCCCTGGTCCTGGTCCTGGTCCTCATTCTCTCTGCTCAGCCCTGTCCCCTCTGCCCCTTCCCTTTCCCCTCTGCCCATCCCTGTCCCCTCTGCCTGACCCTAGTCCTCCTTCTCTCTGCCTGGCCCGGGGGCTGCCATGGTGTTGATGGGTCACAACCCCTCAGAGGTGTCAGTTGGGGTGTCTCCTCACCAGATGTGGGGGGTCCTGGCTTGTGCTTGGTGCCAGAGGGGTCTTTCACAGGGCCGTTTCGGGTCCCCTGTGACCTCAGAAAGGCACAGGGTGCTCCCTGCAGCAGGACAGGGGCTGGCAGGGACACACTGAGCTGCCCCTGAGTGTGTCCCCGCTGTCCCCACAGATGAAGCGAGCCCTGGTGCTGGGGGCCTCGGCCCTGCTCATCCTGGCGCTGAACCAGAACGCCATCCGGGAGGTAGGGCAGTGCCTCTGGGGGGCTGGGCCAGGGTTGGGCCCCCCTGACAGCTCTGCCTCCCTCCCCCTGCAGCTGGACGTGTCCCAGCTCCTCGCCAAGCCTGTCATCGTCATCCAGTCCTCCGACAACGTCACCAGGCTGCTGGGAGCGCTGCTGCGGTACGGGCTGGGCACTGCCTTTCCCTGCCTTGTCCCTGCCTGGTCCCTGCCTGGTCCCCTGCCTCGTCCCTGCCTCGTCCCCTGCCCCGCTGTGACACCCAGGGGCTGCCCTGGGGATCTCTTACCCAGAGTGTCATGCTTGCTGGACTGGTGTTGCCTGTACCATGCCAGGCTGAGACGCGTGTTTCCAGTGGGGGTTTGGGAGCCCTTCCATGTGTCCCCACATGGCAGCAGGGGTGACAGTGGCCTCAGCCAAGAGCTTTAGGACTCTCGGTACAAATTATCCGTCCTGGCTGTTTCTCGGCATGGCACCGGCATCCCAAACACTCCTGGGGATGTTTGTCCTCACCAGCTGCAGTAGTGGGACCCCTTCGGTCCTCCTGACATGTGGGACATTGGGATTGCTGCCTTGGAGTCACAGATGGGGAAACTGAGGCACGGGGCTGGGAGGAAGAGGCCTGGGCAGGGTCACTGAGGGCTGGGCATGGCTGGAGAGGGAAGGTCTCGCTGCCACCTCCTGTGTGTTCTTCTGTCCCCCCTAGTCCCCACCCTGTGCTGCCAGTCCTGGGAAGGGGGTGCTCCCTGGCATTGGGGTCTGTGCCCAGATCCTGCTGTGCCCATGGAACTGACGCTCCTTTTTGCTCACAGTGGGCTCCGGGCCACAGCAAAGATCACGTACCAGGCGGTGCTGCTGGAGAACCTGGTATGTAGGTCCTTCCTCCTCTTCTCCTCCTCTCTCTCCCAGAGAGTGTGCCTAGCCAAACTTCCCTGATCCACGGGGAGCAGCTGCAGGGCGCAGTGCCCGGCCCCACAGTGTCCCAGTGTCCCCGTGGGAGCGGGGCAGGTGGCAGTGCCACCGTTCCTCCTCCCCGGAACACGTGTGCTCCCGTCACCGGTCACTGCCGTGGCCGTCGGCAATGCCGTGTCCTGCCTTGCAGGGGGTGACCCTCACCCTGTGGTCCACGTGTGGCCTGTCCCGAGGGGGCCTCTACGGGGAGTGGCAGGGGGTCATCTGCCCCGGGGAGAGCAGCTCACAGGTCCAGGTACGGCACCGGGGGGGTCCTGGCGGGGCTGGGAGTGGCGGAAGGTCTCAGGCTCACCCCCCACACCGTGCCATTCCCACAGAAGTACCTGCAGCAGCTGTGGAACACCATCCTGCTGATTGCCCTGCTGCTCTGCACTGGGGTCATGGTGCAGGCACAGCGCCAGTCACGGCAGGACCTGTCAGAGCGGGATACTGAGGTGGGAATGTCCCTGCTGTGCCCTGTGCCAGGGGCAGCAGCAGGCGGGCTCTGCCTCTGCCCTCCTGCTCTGCCCCTGCCTCTCAGCTCTGCCCCTGACCCCTGGCTCTGCCCTTGCAGCTGGACCTGAAGCAGCACATCCGCCGGCGGCTGCTGGCGCTGAAAACCCGTCGGTACCACCCCGGGAAGCCGCCGCGGAGCCGGGCCTGCGAGATCGATAGCTGTGCTGTGTGCTTGGACCAGTTCCACAAGAGCCAGGTGGGACTGGGGGGCCTGGAGCCTGCCCTGGGGACACCGGTGCTGGTGCCACCCTGGGACAGAGTGTCCCTCTTGGGATCTGTTTGTGTCCCTGCCGGGTCCGGCCATGTCCCTGCCAGGGTCCAGCTGTGTCCCTGCCGGGTCCATTCACATGTGCCCTCCCTTCCCTGCTGGCAGTGGCTGCGGGTGCTGCCCTGCTCCCATGAGTTCCACCGGGACTGTGTGGATCCCTGGCTCCTGCTGCAGCAGACCTGCCCTCTCTGCAAGCACAACATCCTGGGTGAGAACCGCCGTGGCACCCGGCCGGGACCCCCTGGTCACCCTGGGGCAGGGGCTGGGGAGCACTGAGAGCCCTCCAGGCTCCCCGTGCCATGGCTCTCCACCCTTCTCCCTTGCAGGGAACTGCTGCACGGACAGCTAGCGGGCCCAGGGACACTCCAGGGACAGACCCACGGCCACTCTGGGGAGAGAGAGGGGACGGGGTGCCCAGTGAGTGGCACCTGCTGCCAGAGCTGGGTCAGTGTGGCTGTGCCACCACAGTACCCGGACACCGCAGAGGGAAGGACTCTGGGCTCTCTGAGGGTTGTGAGTAGAGGGGTGGGGGGTCCAGACGGGCAGTCCGGGTAGGGAAGCTATGGGGGCACCCACGGGTGTAACAGGGTGGGGGCTGGGGGCAGGGAGGGTCCTGACCCTGCACTCTTGCCCCGCTCATGGGAATTTTTCTAAGTCTTGGGGTTTTTGTCTATTTGCTGGTGGCCATGGCAGGGTGAGCAGAGCCCAGCTATGGCACCAGCCCCTCGGGGAGGTGGGGGACAGACCCACCAGGGCTGGGGCTGGCGGGGCTGTGGGAGGGCAGGGGGCAAGGCTTTATTTATAGTAACTTATTAGAAAGGATGGCACTAGTCAGCTGCAGAGCCACCAGCGGGCTCCTCTCACCCAACACCGTGAGTGGGGACATGCCATGAGCCCTGCCTGGCTCCTGCCCCACAGGCTGCAGCGTGGCATGTGTCCATCCCTATTAAACACAGAGCAAGGACTGGCTGTGTGGCTTGTGTGGGGCTCATGGGGCAGCTCAGAGGTCAGGGCCAGCCTGTGCCAGTGACTTGGTGGTCCCCAGCCCCTCTGGGTGCTCATGGAGTGGGGAATGCCTTTCCCAGGCTGTGGCTGTGCTGGTGGGCCAAGGGCGGCTGGGATTCCTTCATCCCAGCCCAGCTCTGCCTTTCTCTTCAAGTGTAGCCACATCCCAGTCCCCTCTTGGGAATTGTTCCTGGCAGGAACTAACACACACAGTGCCCAGGCTTTGGCACAGGCAGAGCTGTGCTGGGGCCTCCAGCAGCAGTGTAGCCATGGGTGACTGAGCTCCAGTGCCCAGGAACGTCCCTGGAGCAGCTCTGCAAGGAACAGGCAGAGCCCGGGTTTCCCAAGGGAGCGTGCATTCCCGATGCACAAAGAGCGGGTAACGAGGTCCCCCTGGGCAGGGCAGGTGGCTGCTCATGGAACAGTTCATTTCTCTGTTAGAAGATCAGCTCATCAGTGTTTATTTGTGGTGGGTCCCCGTGCGGTGCAAGGGAGGTCGAGCCCCAGGCGTCCCACGGGGAGCGACAGGCAGGGTCTGGCCTGGAATGTGGGCTCTGCCCGGAGCAGCTTGGAGTGCTGGCTGCTGGGAGCTCGATGCCAGGCCTTGTCCATGCATCCTGGCATCCCTCTGCTGTCCCTGCTGTTGCTGCTGCCTTCCCTGCTGGGACACCTACAGTGGTAGGAGCAGTGAGACAGGGAGAAGAGCAGGGAAACCTCCCAGCCCCTTCCTCTTGGTTCCTACTCACCGTGTGTCCTGCCCACTGGCCTTCCCGTGGAGCTGAGACCCCAGCTGGGCCTGTGGGACTAGCTGAGGCAGGGAAGAGAAGAGGGGGTGAAATTCCACATCCCCCCAGTGTTCAGCTCCAGTCACAGCCCTTGGCCTCTGTCCTGGAGGTGTCACCCCTGGAACCGGCCCTGGGCACCTCGGCCAACACCAGTTAAACCAGAGCGACCTCCAAGCAGCATTAGGATCCCGGCCTGGCCCTCCTGGGGTCCCCAGAGGATGTCTGGGGGCCATGGGGTGGTTTAGGGGTGCACAGCACCCACCCCTCTGCCCCGTGGCCCCAGCTCACCTTGAGCACGCCCTGCTGGGCAGCCGCCTTCACCTTGGCCAGCACCGCGCCGAGCCGTGCGTTCTCCCGCTCCAGCACCCCGATCCGGATGCTGTTGGCTTGGAGCTGATTCTCCATGTCCTCTGTCAAGTTTCCAGTGCCTGCAGACAAAATCCAACAGAGCTCAGCCTGCTCAGAGGTGTGGGCATCCCTCCTGCCTCCCAAGGAAAGGAGCCTGCCCCAGCCTGGGAGCACGGGCACAGCCTGGGAGGTGGCAGCTGGGACCCCAAACCCTGTGGGCAAATGAAGTTCTGCCATGTCCTGGTCCCGCTGTAATTCCTGGCCTGGAGGTGGGATGCATGGCACCCACACAGGGAAGCACGTTGGAATGGTCACAGCTTAGCACAGCCCAGGGCCTGAGCTCTTCCTGGATATCAGTGGGACAAACGGCATGTCTGGGGCCGGCAGGATCCCCTGGAAGACCCCAGAGGCACAAACCCAGGGTGTTGCTACTCCCTTACTCTCAAACTGCGCCTCAGGGGGGACGTGAAGCTCAGGGAAGAACACCAGGAGCCTCTCCCGCTCCCTCAGCTCCTGCGCCTGCTCCTCCAGCCGGGATGTGTTTGCCTGCAGCTCCAGGATGGATTGCTCCAGGGCCAGCTTCTCCTGCTGCAGTGTGTCCAGCAGCTCCTGCATGGCACAGGGAGGAGGAGAGGTTTGCCGGGTGAGAAATCCCATGGGAGCACTCGGACCTCCACGGAAAGCTCCCTCCCTTCCTCATGTGGTAAGGTTGTCCCATGAAGTTGAGAAGGGGACAGGAATAATGCGTGGGGTTTCGGCTCTGTGTGACCTGTAAGCAGCAGCACTGACCATGAAATACGGATTTGTCCAGGAATGGGCACACTGGAGATGTGGGAGCAGCCTGAGGTGTCCCTTCCTGCTGTCTTGGGCGCGGGGAAAATCAGTGGAGATCTGTCTGCACTGCAGGGGGCTGAGGGAGAGTCCTGGGAGGGATGACCTTGTGGCAATGGCACCCTGGCTCCCAGAGTGCTCCTCCTGGAAAACTCTGGCTGTGGGTGTGGGTCAGGGCACGGTGTGGCTCTGGACACCCCCGTGGCACAGCTGTGTCCCACACCTGGGTGGGTACCAGCTCTCACCTGCTGCGCCTGGAGCTGCTTCTGGCTCTGCTCCCGGCTCTGCTCCAGCTGCTCCTCCAGCCGGGCCTTGTCCTCCTCGGCCTCTCCCAGGCTGTTCTGCAGCTCCTCCCGCTCCCGGTCCAGCCTGTCCAGCTGCTGCAGCAGGAGCCTCTGCTTGGCCTGCAGGGACTGTGGGAGTGGGTGAGGCTGTGTGGGGCTGTGGCATCTGCTCCCCCTACCCTGGTGCTGGGAGCTGCTCTGGGGCCAGCCGTACCTCCTCGTGCAGCAGCACACTCTGCACTCGCACCTTCTCCTTCTCCAGCTCCGTGCTGGTGGCACTCAGCTCCCGGTCCAGCCTGTCCCGCTGGTCTGTGAGCATCTGCACCTTCTCCTCCAGCTCCAGCATCTGGCTCCGGGCCACCATGGTCGTCTTCATCTCCTCCAGCAAGGTGGTCTTGGTGAGCTCTGGGGAGACACAGCGGCCGTGGCCCAGGCTGGGCAGGGGGGAACAGGCAGGAGGTCCACGGAGATGCTGCCAGGGCTGGAGCCCCTCTGCTCTAGAGCCAGGTTGGGACAGCTGGGGGGGTTCACGCAGAGAAGAGAAGGCTCCAGGGAGAGCTGAGAGCCCCTTGCAGGGCCTAAAGGGGCTCCAGGAGAGCTGGAGAGGGACTGGGGACAAGGGACAGAGGGACAGGACAAGGAGGAGGAAGTGTCCAAGGCCAGGTTGGACCAGGCTTGGAGCAACCTGGGCTAGTGGAAGGTGTCCCTGCCCATGGCAGGGGGTGGATCTGAATGGGCTTTAAGGTCCTTCCAACCCAAAGCATTCCGTGATTCTATGATTTAGTGGCCCCCAATGCCCTGCACAGCCCTGGCAATGGGGAGGAAGGTCTGACAGGACAGCTGTGACCCCCCCAAATCTCCACCAGCAGCAGCCCATTCTGCACTGGGTGATGTTGGGGAGCTGCTGTGAAGGAAGCCCTTCCTCTGACCATTCCTGGCAGCTCTACAGCCTGATCTGGGTGCATTGGGGGCTACATGGGTGTGAAACACTGTGAGAGGGGCAAGGGTGGGGGAGATATGTGAGCTGGGTGACCCTGGGGGTCCTTACCCAGCTCCTGCAGAGCTGCCTGCTTCACTTCCAGCTCCTCCTTCAGGGTGGAGAGTCGCTCCTCCAGCAGAGCCGCTCCTAAATCAGCATAAAAAAACCCCTCCAATTAATCAGCTCCTCAAAAAAAAAAACTAAAGTGAAGCAGAAAAACAGCCCCACCAAAGTTTTTTCATCCAGTGATTTTGTTGTGCTGCAGCAGGGAGGAGGCAGTGACAGGACATGGACAACCAGCTCCTGCTGCCTGGGATTATCCTCACCGCAGGGAAAATCCCCCAGCACCTACAAAAATTCATGGCCAAAGCCCTGCTCCTGGTGGTGGGGCCCAAATTTGCCCATGAACTCTGCTTCTCCTGCAATCCCCCCAGGCCTGGGAGGGGACCCTGGGCACAGCTCTGTACCTCTCCTTAGATCATCCTTATCCTGCTCCAGCCTGGCCACAGCCTCCGAATGCTCCTTGTCCTTGGCTTTCAGGCTCTGCTCTGCCTTCCTCTGCTGCTGCGCTTGGTTCTCCTTCTCTGCTTGCAGCTTCTGGGAAAAGTCCTCCACCTGTTTCCTCAGCTCCTCCTTCTGTTTCCCTACCTCTTCCAGCTCAGCCTTCACGGGGTTCAGCTGCTGCAGCAGCTCCTGGAGGTGTTTGTTGATCCGGGAGAGATCCTTTCTCTGCTCTGAGGCCCAGTAGCTCAGGTCTGTGGCAGAGAGCCTCCTTCTCCCGGCGCTGTCCTCCAGCACCTCCTGGAATTTGCTGAGGGCCGAGGGGATGTTCTGGCTCTGGCAGAGGCTGCTGATGGCCCTGCCCACCTCTCTTAGGCTGGCCTGGGCGCTGGAGCAGCTGTCACAGGAGCCCAGGGGGCACCTCGAGGTCTGGGTGGGGACACTGCGGGTGCCCTGGGCCAGGCTGGGGCCAGCCCTGGGCTGGGAGCCGCCCCAACTGCCCGGAGAGCGAGGAGGGGATTGCTGTGTGGGGACCTCCTTCCTGCAATCCTTGTCCTGAGGGAGAGAGCACAGAACAGGACCAGCACCCCGATGGAACTGGAAATGATCCATAGGAGCCCAAATCCGAGGTGTGAGCTGTGGGAACGGGACAGCAGTGCAGCCGAGGGACAGTGGCCAAGGGGCAGCCTCAGCAGCAGAACCTGCTCCCCACCTCCCCTTCTTGTGACCATCCCTTCCTTCCCACCCCCTGTGCTGTCTCCTGGGTGTGCCACGTGGCTTATTGTGAGATTTCTCCATGAGAAATAACTTCTTTTGGAAAATAAAATGCAGGGGAGGGACGTGGTGTTTTTACCACCAGTTATTTCACTGATTTGAAGCAGGTCGGCCCCTCAGTGGGGGCCGGCAGAACTGCAGCGTTTCGGCAGGAGAAGAATATTTTCCATGTCCCCAGGATGTCCCAGAGAAGGACCGCGGCCCAAGCCCCAGGGGGGTGACCCCAGATGTCCCACCTGGTGCTGGAGCTGCTGGCAGAAGGCCC